TATTAATCTAGTATTTAACATAAAGGGTGCATCTCACTCAATTTTCTGGGAGATGGCATTCTTGGAATTACAAGAATGTAATATAAGGCCTACAAGCAACTTAACAATTCTTCTTTAATTGTGTACAAGCACAATTCATACAGACTGATTTTTTTTAAGGTTTATTTTTATTCGAAAGGCAGATTTACAGAAAATAGGAGACACAGAGAGATACAGGTTCACTCATCAAGTGACTGCAACAGCCAGAGATGAGGAACTGATCTAAAGCCAGGAGCCAGGAGCTTCTTCCAGGTCTCCCACATGGGTGCAGGGTCCCAAGGCTTTGGGCCATCCTTGACTGCTTTCCCAGGCCACAAGCAGGGAGCTGAAAGGGAAGTGGAGCCTCAGGGACAAAAACCAACACCCATATTGGATCCTGGCGCTAGCAAGGCATGGATTCAGCCATTGAGCCATAGCACCAGGTCCAGGAGTGATAGCTTAATATTAAATTAAATCACTACAGCAGAAAGCCATCAACTCCTATTGAGGCAATCCTTGTTCTGTATTGTTCCAAACATCAGACAATCATCATGTTAGCATGAGATGAATGTCATAAATCAATGTGAATCTTAAAAGCCCAAGAAATCAAAGCCAAATACAGGCTAAAACTAAAATCTTCCACAAGGCTAAAATGCACAGAAGGTAAAAATCCTGGTTTTAGTCCATTAGCTTCATTAGCTTTAGTCCATTACCTTCCCCCAACCAAAGAAAAAGCTTATCCTACTTTGTAAAAAAAAAAAAAAAAAAAAAAACAATTGTAAGCCTCCAAAAAGCTAACCCCCACATACATAATCTAAATTTTAAGCCCATTAACTCTCAATCATAGATGCACATAAGAGTCACTTAGCTTTAAAACACATATATGTTCAGCAACCCTAACCCACTCCCAGAGTTTCTGCTTTCACTGCTCTGACACAGGGCACCTGTACTGATCTTTCTTCGAAGCTCCCTTGGGGATTTTAACATGCAGCCAGGTGGAGAACCACTACATTAAACTTACGTAGCCTATGGTGACAAATGCTCTGAGGTTGATAAACACACTCCTTGCCTTTTAATGAGATCTTATTAAAATGACTCAATTCATTCCACAGCCAATTAAGTGACTCCCACATTGCAGGCAGCAGGGTACGTGGTTTAGAAAGATGAGAGACCCATTCCCTGCCCTCAAGAAGCTCCCTATTAGCTGGGTACAGAGGCCCATAAATAAGTAACTGGAATTAAATACTGTGAGTACTCGGGAGGTGTAGGCAAACACAGCATGCCTCACCAAAGTGCTTGTCTTCCCGGTGAGCAAGGGGCATGCTGCAGCACTCCAGTTGCAATAGAGGGTCTACCAGAGCAGGAAACTCACAAGTTCCAAGTTACTAAATAGCCAAACAACCAGGGCAAACATTCACCTACTCCAGGTGAAAACACTGTGCATACTCTCTCACAAACTGCGCTACAAGAAAACAAGCATTTTTCTAGGTTTTAATTTAGATGAACTGTCTTAAAATTTCCTTACTGTATTACTTTTACTTGCACACTTACCTATAAAAGTATAAATTTGTAAAAAGATACTATAAATAATCCTGATCAAGAAAAAAAAAAATGAGTCCTTAAGCTGTATTTGCATAATACCTTTCCTTTGCAGTAATTGATACATTTGCTAAAGAAAGTTTGAGGAGTATAAAACATCATTAAGGAAGACTGGCTGGTTTCAGTCCTCTGAAAGACTCTACATGGAAAATGTTACGGAAACAATGATATTCAATGGATTTTAAATTTTTGTGTGTGTGTGAAACTGAAAAGTAAGAAACAGAAAAACCTGAAAGAATGGCATCCTTCCAATTTACAAATCAAGTACAAGAGTCCCGCAAAGGTGGTCTGCACAGGAGTAAAGGCCACAGCCCTTGCGAAGAAAACATATACCCAATGATGATCTAATACTTTAAACACTCATCAATTCTTTATGACGTCCCTTTCAACCCAAGAAAAAACTCACAGTAGTGAGTCTAGATTCAATGAGAACTTCCATATATGCCACCCAAGTAAGGCCTAGTCCGGAGCAGGTGAGTGGGTAGTCAATTAGTCTTGAAAAGCGAAATTTGTTTTAAAATAGCTTAGCGAAAATTTAAACCTGTTAAGACCCAGTGCTGAAAAATGACTTGCGATACTAATCTAATAAAAAAAAATAATAAAATAGCATTGAGCTTAGCTAAAAATCAACAAAAAGGTTGTCATTGCAAGTACACATCTTCAATACTCTGGTTTCTCTTCAGAAAACAAATACACATCTTCAAGGCTTTTCTGTTGCGATCCAGACTGAACAAATTCCAAGTTAAAATGTGTGCTGTCAAGGTCCCTGCAAGAAAATCTCAAGCGAATTTCAATTTCCAGATCAATATATACTGAGACCATTTACCAGAGAAGCCTTCAACCTTTACACAGGATGAGGAACACTATCATTACATTCTTTTAACACCAAGGCTGTCTTGGACTCATTATTTCATGAAATGGCATTTTATAAACGGCACTGACCAAGTCAGATTTTGTAGGATAGGAATGAGATTTCTCAGTTCACAGTAAAAGTAGCCATATAATACCTGTTACCTCCAAATGAGCCCGCTCCGACTGCTAAGGCCATTCTTAAACATCAGAAGAGATGGAGTCAATTCTGGCTGAAAATGCTTGATCAATTGTAAGTCAGCAGAATGCTGTCTGTTAATGTGCTGCTCATCACTTCTCATCACTTGTGATATCCGCAGATCACACTGTCACCTTCCCAAACCATAAGGAATCAGAACCAGTTACCAAAACTGATTCAGCGATGACTATTTTCCATCATCACAATATAATTAATGTTTTAATTTCACATTTTCTAATTATGACTTTGCTGGTTCATTTACATCAGCTACAAACTAACACACAAAATACATCACTCACCCACACACAGTCTCATTTGGGGGCTTCTGGGAGACACCTAATTTCCCTTTGCTGGGTGCTCCTCAGAATGAAGAAACTAAGGGAATTCTTGATACATATTTTCTCTCCAGAATTGTGCTATTTACATGTGGCTACTGAGCACCTGCACTGTGGCTGATCTAAGGAAGTGAATTCTGAATTGTATTCAATTTTCATGAATCATAAATTTAAATTTACAAAGAGAGACAGGCTTCAGGTACTGGAAAACTTTCACCTATGTTTGCAAGAACCTGGGTTTGTGAATCCACTTTCACACATGCAAATTTCATTAAACCTAAATACAGATCAGGTAATTCTGATGAAAATTTAGCTCCACAGGAGAACTGAGACATGCTGTTAGTGTAAAATGCACATTAGGCTTCAGAGATTGAGTGTAAAATAAAGGATGTAAAACGCCTCATGGAAGGTCTTTATATTGATTACATGCTGAAATGATAACAGTTTGGGATCTACTGGGTTAAAGACAATAATTGATCTAAATGAATCGCACATTTGTTTTTAAATTTGTTTCAAGTGGCTACTAGAAACATTTTTTAATTGCATATGTGGCTCTCATTATGTATTTTTTTGGACAGCACTGCTCTTAAGAGCACTTCCACAATCACTTTACCAGACACGTTTGGAAATCCTCCTGCTGACAGACAGGCTGGTGCTATAACAATAGGGGCAAGGAGTATCATGTCCTCCTATCAACTGGGGCTGAGTAAAGTGTGTAGCAAGCTCTAGGCACAATTTCACCCTGTGAAGCAACATCGTGATACTTCAAGATGGAAGGAGGGGGGAAGAAAGAGTTATCAGCACTCAAACAAATTGAAATTGAGTACTGCAGACAACTTAAAAGAGAAAGAACCAACTGCTCTAAGGTCTTGGTTTCATTTCCCAACTGCAGACCTTAAAATAGACAACAAAGCACCGCTTGGGGAAAAAAAAATAATAATAATAAAGGGGGGGAATGTTCCAATGTTTGCTATCAGGCAATGCTTATGAAATGAACGAAAACTGCTCTTAAATCTTATCCCCTCAACTTCGAAAGCCCCAGAATAGATCTGAGCTAGGAAATCAACTTCAGCTCGCCAGCATTTCCTTCACGAGCAAATCAGCAGGATTGTGCACTTGGAATATTGTTTGACAAGAATGAAAAGGAAACTATTCAAAACAGATTTAGGGAATGGACAATTAGATGAGGAACTGCAGATTTAATTCTCAATCAGCACTGTGATTAATCTGATTCCCCGCTTTTCCCTAGTGTAATTATACGACACAGATGAAAGGATGAGCATTTGGACTGTCAGTTCTATATTCTAGACCAGCCCGGTGACTCAAAGCAGACGGCTCGACCACGCTAACCACCAGCCCAACAACAGTCGAGGGGAGCCTCGAGCACTGATTGAACAGTTATTGCATAACGAGGCATTAAAAATTCGAGTGTCCCCCAACTCTTTCCACGGTCGTCTACACCCGGTGGAAGATTTTGCTGAAACGGAATGCACCCCGTCTTGAAATGACCCCCCTCCGATCCGGGCATAGGGTGAACACAAAGGCATCTAATATCCTGCACAATAGACACACACCCCACAATTAAAAAGCCCGGACGCTCTTTCTTTCTCCCTGCACGCGAGCAAAGGAAATGCAAACTGCTCTTTTCGCAAATGGTCTACGGTACCAGCAAGGTAACAATAACCCCAACTGTCCCCAGGAAGCAATTATAAAATCATTTCTGCCTCGTCCCTGTACAACCGTCAGATAAAATGCAGGCAGCCGGCCCTACGCCTTACGGGGTGGCCGGCCTCGGCTCGGCTCGCCGAGAACCCCCTAGACCCCCGCTTGGCAGGCGATCCAGGTACACGTCTATAAATACTCCAGGGTGAGGAGGACGAGGAAGGCAGAAGGGAGAAGGGAGGCAGGGCAGGGGGGCAGGCCCGGAGCGGGTGCGGGAGGACCCGGGCATCATTGAAATGCATTTTTCCACACTCCCGCTCCCTCGCGTGGAGACTCACTTGCCGATCACCTCGCACAGCTCGTACACGTCCTCGAACAGCACGTCGTCGTCGGCCATGGTCCGGAGGGGGGCAGCGGCCGCAGCGTGGAGGGCTCCGAAAACGGGGAGTGGGGAGCGCCTAAGAGCTCAGTGCCCAGCCCGGGCTTCTCCTCCTCCCTCCTCAGGACCCGCGAGCCCCTCGGTGCTGAGGAAGCTCGAACGGGGCGGCGAGGCCAGAAGAGACTGCAGCGCCTTCCTCTGCGGGCGACCGCCCCGGCGCGGGCGGCGGGGCCGGGGCGCGGGAACGAGGGCGGCCCGGGCCCGGCGCCGCCCGCCCGCCCGCCCGCTGCTCCTCGAGCTGCTCGGGCCGCGGTGCCCGGCGTCCGGATCCTCGGGGAGGGGAAGGCGCGCTGCCGCGCTTCTCCACTCGTCAGCCCCACGCGGGCCGCGAGGCCGCGACCGCTCCCTCTGCCCGAGAGCGGCTCCGGCGCGGCGCGGGGCAGCTCGGACTACAGCGGGGGCCGCAGCAGGACCATGGAGGGGAGAACTGCCGCGGAGGGAGGTGGCGGCGGATCGGCGCTGGGGACCAGGAGGCGGCGGCAGAGGCGCTCCCTCCTCCTTCTCCTCCTCCCGCCGCCGCCCGCCCGACAGTGGGTGGGGGCTTCGCGGGCCGAGCGCTCCGGGCGGACGGGGAACCGCGGCCGCCGCCTCCGGCTCCTCCCCCTCGGCCTGGGCAGCCGACCGGCTCGCGAGCCCCGCGCACCCGCCTCGCGCAGACACGCCCTCCTCCCTCCCACCGCTCCCGGCCCGCGCGGCCGCCCCAGCCTCAGGCCCCGCCCACTCCACCCCAGAGGGAGGCGGCGGCCGAGGGAGAGAGCGCGTCGGACGGCAGCGCGCATGCGCGCGGCGGCGGCCACGTCACTGGGAACGGTCGGCCGCTCTGAAGCTAGAGGGCGCGGGGTGGCGGGGCGGGGCGGGGGGTTGGCGAGCGAGGTGCGCGGGCTGCGGCTACCGAGGCGGGGCTGCTCTGGGTCGTTAGCTCCGCGGCCGGCCGTGAGCAAGCCGCGAACGGGGCCAGGGACAAAAGGTGTACGGTGGCACGCACGTTCTCCGACGAGATACTGAGAACTCCGACCGCTGCTGTCCACACGACCCCCCGCCCCGCCTCCTTCTTTTGTAATCCCCGGAAGCCTTTCCCAGTTTTAGCTTGGGGGAGAAAAAGGCAGGAAGAGGGTGCTAATGAATGGGAAAGCAAGGTGGAGAGAGGGTGTCACTCCAGACCCTGTTTGGCAGCGGGAAGCTTGTAGGTCCACCCTTGGCATTCTTTAAGGAAGATAAGGCTTGGGGGCGGCAGCGGTGGGGGTCGCCCAAGCATAGGATCCCACCAAAAACTGTCTAGGAAGGTGTGCAAAGACAAACGGTCGTGCACAGAGACAGCCTCTCCCGCGTTCTCCTGCAAAACTATCCAGCACCTACCGCCACCACAGACAAGGTACAGAGAGGTCAGCCAAAGCAGGGACACATCAAGACTTTTCAGCCCCTTGATGTTATGGGAAGCCGAAGTTCCCGGCACCTACTCTGCTCTCCATACTGCCTAGACATGTTAGACTTCTCGGGATGAAAATGCAACTACAGGATCAGCCAGGGAGTGAGGTTCTGGGTGTTGCCGCTGTGCTAGATTGCATTCAATATGAAGATTGCTGTTCAACTGAGCATGTGCGGAATGAGTCAACGCCATCAGACAGGTATATGCCTTAGTTGAAGACCAATAAAAAAAAAAGTCTTTGTTCCTCCGCACAGCAGAAGTGTCCAATTAGTTCATAAGTTCGCTTGCAGAAATCATCTGGTAAAATCCTCCGTACGGTAATTAGAAAGTATTTGCAGGGTGCAGCGGATGGAGTGGAAACTCGCAGCCTATTTTCTGCTCAGAGATATTCCGTGCTAAGCCTTGACCACTGCCTCACTGTTTGTCTGCTAAGGATTTGGGGTGCTAAATCTGTTTTTGATACATGCAGATCAGAAGAAAGATAAAATCGCACGAGGTTTTTCTTCTTTCCGGAAGAGCTCGTGTCTTCTCCCAAGAAAGGAGCCTCCGAGCGGGTGAACGCCCGCTGCTCTGAGAGTAAAGCAGTTCCAAGTCATTCCCCCCGACTCCAGGCAACCTGTTCACCTTTCACCTACTGAATAAGGTGTCACCCCATTCTGCCGCGGCGTGCACAGCTACCCTCAGAAGTCACCTTGTCAGCTTCCCTTGCTCCTGGCTCAAGTCTGAGTTATGCCAACACTTGGAGACTTCAACCCAGCGTTTGCTACCTTTCTTAAGGACCCACGCTCAGAGCTAGAAAAATATGGTTACAAAGCAAAAGAGCAGGTAGAGAGGGAAACAGCATCTGCAAGCATAAGACTGATCTCTGATCATGAAATCACAGCTGGTTTCTGTCTGGGAAGAGCCTTAGAGGTCAGCTAGCCTAACTCCTTCGTTTCCAGATGTGCAGGATGCGGTAGAGGTTCTGCTAATAGCCATACGCCCACCCCTCCATTTTTGGCTCACAGCTCTGGGTTTGAGATGTGATCAGAATCACCTTCAACTGGAGAGGTGAGCCCTACCTAATTCATTACATCAATAAATGTAGCCCCCTCTTGCCACAGTGGTTGCAGTAATTTAATCAGCTCTTGGCATTCCCAGGTCACATGTCTGGAATGCTTCAGGGTCTTTGAATCCGCATGGAACTTGTGACTTTCCTCGTCTAATTTGAACTTGAGCCTCCCTGCTTACAGGATGGAGTAATACAGAAATTTTCTGCAATGCACATTTCTCTGACCTTGGACCTTGTATGATGGCTGCTGAAGTCACCTCACTGCTTCCAGGCCTAAAATAATCAAACTTAGAGCAAGCATTTGGCCTAGTGGTTAAGATACCTGTGCCCCATATTGTACCACCTGAACTCAATACCTAGCTCTAGTTCTTGAGTCAAGCTCCTCCTAGTACAGATCTGGCAAAGCTGTCTCAAATACATAGGTCCCCTTCTCCCACTTGGGGGGCCTGGATGGATTGCCCACTCTCAGCTTCATTCAGCCCTGGCCATTGAAAATATTTGAAGTATGAGCCAGCATATGGGGGAGGGCTCTCTCTCTCTCGCTCTTTCTCCTCCACCCCCACACAGCCTAATAATAACTAATCATTTTAAAAGAAGATAATTCCTCTCTGGGTTTTTTTTTTCCCAAAAATCCAATACTTTTTCAGCAAATAAATGCCACTATAAATGGTCAGTTGTCAATGATTTTGTTATTTTAGTTTTCACAAAGGAAATATTAAACATAACATGGTCAGATTTTTTTCAGATATTGAAAACTGAATATTCAAGAGTATGAACAAATGATACAAGATGTCTTTCAAGTAACAAATGTGGAGATTGGTTGTTGCTAGCATTAGATCAGCTATTCAAAGAATTGTGAATATAATCTAGGTTCATTCTTTCCGTTCTACAGTCCTTCACAGGTAAACATCTCAGCTTCACACTTGTCGCCTTATCATCACAAGGGGGCTGCTAAAATCTCAAACATCAAAGGCAGGAAGCAGCAGGGCAGGTTGAGAACTTTTTGCCCTTTCCCATACCTTAATTCAAACAATGCAGAGAGAAAATGTGGTTTTCCTATCTCACTAACCTGTGCAGAGTCACATAGCAACCATAACCTGCAAGGGGAGCTGGGGACAATGGTGTTTAATTTTTCCTGCTTCCTCTGCTAAGGTGGGCAAGACAGAAGGAGCTGGGGAATGGGCTTCAGCGGTCAAGCAGCAGTATCATGGTTTGAACAGGACCTGGCTCCCCAAAGTCATGTAGACACTGAAGCCCCAAAGTGTTTTGTTAGTGTCTCTGTGTGGTTGATCAATGAAAGATGGAGGCTGGATCCTGTGATAGTAAAGGAAGCCATCTTTTGGGAAGTGGCTGGATTGGACAAGGTTGCTAGGGTAGAGGGGCATGATCAAATCATGATGCCTTGTAAAGAGAGACACTATGAGATGGAAGAGTGTGCCTCCTGTCTGTCTGCTTCTTGCCTCACCATGCGATCACTCTCTCTACCAGTCCTGTCCTAAAGAGATTCCTGAACCAATGGAGGTACCCTGGTGTTGGACTACGAACCTTCAATCTGTAATCTGAAATAAGCCTTCTTCCCTTCTAAGTGGCTTCTCTCAAACAAGTTAGTTACACTAAGAAAAATCTACTGTCAAAGCAATATTTCTCGAGCTTCGTCATAACATAGGTGTAACTCTAGGAAACACATGAAAAGCTTTTACGAAATTTAGAAGCATCAAAAAAAAAAAAAAAAAAAAACCAAACCATGGAGACGCAGCTGGGGGCACACAAATTTGATTCCCACTTGTCAGTACAAATCCTTGATGATTTTGAGGTGTTGGGCTTCCTCAAAATCACATTGGACACTGAAGTTGTAGGACTCCCACACAGTTGCAGCAGTGACAGACACAGAGAAGGGAAAAATACACTCTGCAGAGAAATATTAGCAGGAAAGTCACTCAGAGGTCAGTGTGGCACAGGGCTAATTTAGGCAATTTGAGTTCAACCTCACTCTGTAGCCTGATTCTTTTAGTATGTAAATTATTACTGAATTAATGAATAAAATTAAGAATGACACTGCTCTTCACCGGCATAAATAAAGTTAGTGTCTCATGGTATAAACAGGATGTTCTAAGCTCAAATAAAAGACATCATTGTCTCTCCAGAAAAAGCTTTGTATACAAGGGTATTTCGGAAGTTCATGAAATACAGAGTTCATGGAATTAGAGAATTCAGAGATATGTTTATTTGGATGCAAAAATATTTTTCATAAAAATTTCATGAGAAGTAAATTATGGAAAAACTATGCATGGATTTCAAAATAATGTTTGCACCTAAATAAAAGTATCTTTGAATTCCATTTTCCTGTGAAATTCTTGGAGTATCCTGGTATTATTGAACTTACATTTGATATCATGTTCCAAATTATTTATTTTATATTTATTCAGTGAATGTCTGTGTTAGCCGGGGCTGTAAGTACAAATAAGGCACTGTTCCTGACCTCTCTGAGGTTCCTTCTAAAAGAAAACAAGGATCAGGCAAGTAATTACCCAGACAGAGTGATGGTGATTAGCATTTGGGAAGCCTGGAGCGCAAATGTCCTGGGGATCTATGGGTCAGGAAGGGCCCAACCAAGGGAATGTTGAGACAAAGCTGAAGAAAGCACTAAAATTAACCCAGTGAGAGGCTATTTGGCTGTAAGTAGATGGGAAAATGTGATGTCGTAGACGTGAG